CTGCTGACGGTGTGAATATACAATTAATTTTTCAGTGATATTAAATTCATAAAAATGGAATAAAGTGCCTGATGAAGAATACATACAGCAATCGAAATGTAAACAGGACAAATTAAAGAATTAAACAATTGAAGTAAACTTTCATAATTATAATTACCGTGACATTAACTGATAGAGGAATTTTTTAAAGTGTTTAACAAAAACGGTTTGAAGAGTGATAAGAATATTTTTCATATTGAGTTTTCATTTAATTTCAAATTCTCCATTTAATAAAAAATTCTCACCGGTCACATGACGGTCATATTTCTGTCACCTGACTGTTTTTTATTGCTTACGTCATCCCTATTCTAGGTCAATGGGATTCATTGTCCTTTGATAATTCGCAGTTGACGGGTAGATGAAAGGTTAATGGTATTGGTTCACCGAGTTTTATTATTCAGAGGATGTGAGGATAGAGATGAGTGCTCAGGATAAAGAGGAGGGACGGAAAATATGCCCCGGTTACTACAGGATTAGCGGGCATTAGGAAGGAAGATTTAGGGTGATCCTTTAACATGGGGACACGGTGAACGCGTTGATTCGTATTTATCGTCGTCTTATGGGGAAATCTACCTAGCAATTTCTGGTGGGATGCATTAAATAAGATATGTGGAGTACTTTTTGTGAGTTATCATGTGGGATCCGATTTTTATGGCGAATTGAATGACAAGGGAGATTAAAGGTGGCGAAGGATACAATTCTCTGCGGTGATGATGCTGATGAATGTAGTTCATTCTTCATGGATAAAGATGACTTAACGTTCAGGACGTTGGACCAGGCTTATCCTAGTGCTCAGGTGGACAAATGGCGCAGCCTAAAATTTGGGTTATCAAATTAATCCGATTGTTCTTCTTAAAAATTCGATATTTGTGATTACTTTGTAATGTGACGTGAGCAATTATCTGAGAGATTTAATTTCAGTTGAAAATAATGATCCCAGATTCTTTATTCATCGGCGCTATTTCACGAATGAAGATTGAAAGGGATTAGGAGGTCTTTGGCTCAAGAATTTGCGGAGGAAAAAGATCTTTTAAGTTTGATTAAAAGTAGAAAATCCCCCAATAGTCAGATTGTGGATGTCCAATAATTCGAGATTGAAAAAATTCGGTGGTTGTCAATGATGCAAGATATCACTGGTTATTCCTCGAAGGTGTTCAGCCAGTGAGTTACATGCGATTGTTTATAATATAACTTTTTTATGCAGCTGTATATTTATTCGCGTCGATTGAAGTCTTCAACGTTAAATCGATATAAAGTGATCGATACTATTAGAAAAAAAATATACTATAAGAAAATATTCGGTCGTGTCGAAATTTTATTGACGATTGCAAAAGTCACATTTGATTCTACATATAATTTACGATTATTGATTGATCGAAATAATTAATAAGATCGGTTTATCTTCGGGTAAATAATGAATTTTATTTCGGTCTCTCCGAATATTAATACTTGCTGACGAGAATTGTCCATTTCATGATCCAAATATGCATCAAATAGAATTAATTTTCCCATGACAGATGAACTGAAATATTCTCAGCTGTTTTAATAAAATGAAGAATTTAGTTTTCAACGAATGTGAAGTTTACAGGCTGATCCGGGGGCGGTAAACCCAAGGGTAATTTATCACCGCTTGGTTTATATCATTTTATGTTATAGCGTGCAGAAGTCACGTTTGAAGCACACTGCGTTCTGCACAGCACGATAAGACTTGGTTATCGTGCTGTGTGACATAAAATGTTTAACAGTGTTTGAGAAAGTAATGGAAACGCGTGAGACTTCGATTCAAGAGGAACACAATATTGGCAGAGAATTCTTTATGACCTGTGGATACGTCTCTGATTTCTATGACTGAAGAATTCTTCCCAAGTCGACCATTATTATTCATTAAAAAAAAACTAATTATTACTATTACAAACTATTTATTACTGCTACTATTATTATTTTCATTTTTATGATTGACATATTTTTCAGAGGATCTCTTGTAGATGAGACAATTAAATTAATTTAAACAGTTATTTTTACGCTAATTACTTATCTTTATTAAAACGCACAAGAAAAAACGTCTGCTTCCTATCAATATCTAGGAGAGGGAGACTGAAGAGAGACTGGCTACGAAGACCAGAAGAATATTCGTCACCGAAGAAAGAATTCTCCAATAGTTTTTTCGTAAAATTATTGTTTATGTTTATGCAAACTTTGAGCCTTCCCGTTGATTCATTTTTGTAACCATCAGAATTCAGTTTAATTATTAAATTCAGTTCATGGTGCCCGCTCCAGCCATAATCACGTTTTGAAATTTCTTTGACAAATTGTTGATTGCAACTAAAATATTACAACCTGAAATATAACGATAACAGACCTCCCGAGTTTCTGAACAAATACGTATTATTCCGGAATGTCTATTTTCCATATTTTGCATTACATCTGAAGATCGTTAAATTTCTGGAGGTGCACAGTACTTCCATAATCAACCGCAAGACATAACTTACCCATGTTCTCCTAAACCAGCTTTCATCAAAATTCTCTCGCTCGTATCCTTGAACAATAATCAAGCACCAGGTTTATGGCAAGTTGTCTCTCGTTTTTACGATCTCACCCTTTCAAAACTTGATTAACACCCCGAGAAAATAGATGTGAAGATTTAGACGTAGTGCAGGAAGTGGGGATTTTGTAAGTAGTGAGCCTGGAAACCACCAAAGACGGTACTCCAATGTACTCGTACGCCATTAGTTTACAGTTCCCAAGGGCATACGAAGGGTTGGAATGTTTATGGAAGGATGGAGTAACGTTATAGAGAGGGATCCCAACAACCACCCGGTGTATATTCCATCGTCCTTACGGGTGTGGTATCGGAACTTATAATTGCTGGATGTTAGTTCGCTTCGTGCGCTGAAGAATTGGAGCCCTCCAATGTTCTCACTTTTTTTCCACATGAAAAACCAAGAGTGAATGTGGTTTTGTTTATTTCATTTGGCTTTTTAAAATTTATCGTCGAGGGGAATGTGTGTACCCTTTTAGCCCTTCGTGTGTCGTTCATTTGAGCTTAACCCTCGGAGCACCTCGCGTATCGTGTTCATAAACTCCCACGGGAAACTTTGAGTGCGTTGGGCTACAAGTTTTCTCTCTTGAGACGTCAGTTTCATTTAACTGGGTGCTGAAGATCATTTTCCGTACCACCGAGAAATTTAATACATCTGAAACTCAAAACTAATAATAAGATAATTTACTGGAGATTATAGAGAGAAAGAAGTTCGGTTTCATCAGAATTTAATAGAAAAAATAGGATACGATGGAGTTTCGAAGTGGATGATGAGGGGAGATTGAAATAGTTTGAGAAGACAAATTATGATTAGGTTTTTCCAAGGCGATTCATTTCAGGTTGAAGACGCTTGAAGTTGATAGTTTTTTTAGCATGTGCTTTTATCGGAGAGTCAAAATGATGATAGGAATAGATGAAAGGATGAGTTTCAATAGTAGAATTGAAGATGTTGTCAATATTTGGTTTTTAGAATGGATGGATATGGGATTGATGAGAAATTCTGAAAAGTATAGAAAGGGGGAATTTGCTGGAAATGTGGCAATTTCGATCTTCACATTCCAATTTTGTTATCTAACATTTCCTTTTTCTGTTCATTTTATCCGTAGCATCCTGCATCGCTGATGGAATGTAATACCACGGTTGGAAGCCTTCGGGCAACAGACAGTTGCAAGTTTACTCGAGGCAGATGATGTACAGAATAAAAATAAATAGACATTATAATTTCAAGTATCTCCAACGATACTTTTCCAATTTTCCCGACAGAAAATGTAGTAGGATCTTGGTGAATTTTTAGTTTGTCGATAAATGTTGATCGGATTGACCCGAAAAAATATGCTGCAGTGGCATTTCATCATTTCATGCGGCTCACAAAATTTTGATGACCGCTCTAAACTTCATTCAATAATAATATCACCAATATTAGGGATATTGCTTCAATATCCCTAACTCTAGCCGATCGTTGGGATTTGCTTGAGCGAGCTGGGGATTACTTTTGTGTACGTTAAGAAATCGAGGATTTCTATTAATTTAATTCGTCATTCGGTCTGTGAAGTGGAGTATCTTTGAGGCTTCGGTCATGACGTCAGTTTGTCATTTGAAATATTTTTAAATTATTGGTATATTGAGGAACAGTTGCATTGAGTAAAAATTAATTAACAATTATAAACCAAATATGTGAATTTCTTGTTTTTTTCTTTGTCCTCGTGATGTTTCGAAATGAATCCCTGGAAAATAGACCACAGAAAAAATAGAGTCATCTTAATTTTCCTATGGTCTATTAATTTTGGTGGGTTTTAACACGTTTTGGATGTGTGGGATATTTTTTCCTGATCTATTTCTTCTGTCGACCTTTCGAAATAGTGTGGATGTTGATGAGATATTTTAGTTATTATACTTTCCTCCTGTAATATTTTGAAGTAGTATCTTGAACCGGACATTTTTAATTTGAAAAACGAAATCCTGAGGCAATTGGGCCCACCGAAAAAGTTGTTTCCATTTAGTCTCCTGAAGGATTTTCCTCGCAAATAAAAACGATATAATCCTTAACTTAAATTACATCACCATTCATATGTTCTCTATTAAAATCCGCTTAAGGCTACATTTTCATGCAAATTATTCAGAAAGGTACAACAGGGGTAATCAAAATGCAATCAACAAACCACTGAAAACATGAAACTTTAATTTTAGTTTGGTCTACTTGTAGTGAACAAATATGATCAGCCTTCTTCAAGTAATTTATTCAAAGTCAAGAGTAATACTCTGTAGTCGTAAATTCTCATAAGAAAGTCAGAACTGAACCGGTAAATTTCCCAAAAAACTTTGTAGTTTTGCCGCAAACTATCGACGAAGAGAGTTTGTAATCTTCTCGCTAATCTTCTCCATCCACTGAATCACGAAGGAACTTCTGAATAATTAGAAGACCTTAACAATACAAAAAATCATTTATTTTCAAAAATACAAGTTTCAAATATTTTGCATGGATTTGTATTTCTCAAGTCTTTTCAGCCACTCCCTCCAGTAAAATTCGAGTTTTGCTGCGGTGAATTCAAAAACAGAGGGTGGCTGCCCTCGTGTGTACGCTATTACCACAAGACCAGACTTTACCTGAAAGAAAAATACTGAATTTACATACACCTTCGTCAATTTACATCAGACTTGATCGATTTGTCGTTTATGAAGAGAAAACAAAACATTAGATATGATAAAATGGAATTCATTATAATTTATTCAATCAGTCACCTGGAACGGATAATTCGGATCTGCATTGAGGGCTCCAATGTACGCACTGACTTGTAAAGGTGAGTCGTAAGTTGTGCTGAGGGTCTTGATCTTCTCCGATTTTTTCCAATCGATTATACAGAGATTCCCCCTAAATGAATGTCTTATGTTACTACTTCAGCTCATAAAAGAATCAGGGAGATTGCATTATAGGTGTATTGGAAGTGAGACAAGTACCGATGAATCGATAATGATCGTAAAACGACTGAAACAATAGGAGGTAAGATTCCGGACAATTGAGTTTTATGAGCGGCGCCGTTAGGACATCAGTTCTCATTGAATTTCTAAAGGGATGAGACGCAATTGATCTATTTTATTTCTTTTTTTCATCTGAGGGGAACGTAATTGTGGATTTTCTCATATTAATGGGAAAACCTGAAGAGGAAATCGAAAGAAAGTCTCAATACTCTCTACGGATTATTAGACCGGTGTTTTCCTAGCTATTTCGTAAGGCTATAGAGGATGCGCATTCGGAGAATTCGACTATATGCCACCGTAAATTAAATTTTTTCATAGCGAATTCGAATAGCCGAGATATTTATTTTTTGGCGTTATTTTTCATGGGATTCAATTCCTCACTGGACGAACTAATGGATTGTTCACATCTTGGAGGAGGTAATGAAGTAGGGAAACCGAAAGATACACGAAAAAAGAAATAGAGGAGACGTACGATTACAGCTGATTGTACTGTAAAGATTTACATTTAATATTTATTGTAGGCGTAATTTAGTTTATGTATTCTCATTTCTCTTTTAATTTCTAATTCATAAAACCCCGAAGATCCAGAAGCTCAGGGTTAACTCTGGATTTAACGGAAATCCCCGGTTTCCTGTAGTCCATAAGATGAAAGAAAAAAAAAATCGAAAAATTGTTTACATAATGAATAAACAATCGCAATGGAAAACCGGGAAATATGTAGTGCGAATTTTTTATAGAACATTTATTTACTACATTAGTGCAAAAACTATATTTTCAAATAGAAGATAAAAAATAAACGTCTGGCAATGGTATCAATATTTCTACTGAATATTCACACAATTAGATATTATAATTTAAAGATAGAATGATCAAAAATTCTTGTAGAAATTTTGCAAGACATTAACTGCCATCTACCACTAGCAAATATAAATTTGAGAGATAAAGGAAAAATCTCTCTTACCGATAGCTGGCTACACAATCAATGAACCCTCGATATCCCAACGTCGGATGGACCACATGGGACTCCAACATCCTGATGTGAGAGAGATCCTTCAAGACTAATTTAACGCTGTTAAAACTAGGTTTTAAGTGTTGCGGAACTTCAGGAAGTTCTTCTCTCCTCAGACTCTTCTCAATTAACAAGTGCATAATTTTACTATCCTCCAACAGGCCTGCAACAAAAAATTCCCAGAACCCCTCCAAATTTTACTATCCTAAATACTCCAGACAGAATTACCAGAGAGTAGTTAATTAATAATGAAATAATTACTCTTGCAGTATTCGTCGAATCCCTCCTCCCCCAACTCCTTTATCTTCTTCTTCTTCCACTTCGCTAATATTAATTTGGCCTCTTCTGACATTGTCGCATTCAAAATCCTTGTAACTCCTGGTAAACAATATTCATTCTGTTCTTCCGGCTTCAATGAAACTATTCCCGTACTTTTCCATTTATCATCCTCTCCTTTTGTGGTATTTGCTATTGGAAAGTACGATGTATCATTTCCCTCAGATTTCAGCAAAGTTTCTTCTCTAATACTTTCGTAACAAGATTTATCATCGCTGCCCCCCATGTCTTTCACGAAAGCATCTTCAACTTTTCTTTCAATATTTGTACTCGAGAGTGGAACAATCTCTTCGTCTTGCTCATTATGTTTTTCAATTTTTATAGAATGAATCGGGATTTTAGTAATTCCATTAGAATCTGTAGACTCTAATACCTTTCTGGTTGTAGGTACTTCATTATTTTTTGCGGTTCGTGAAATGCAACTTTTTTGTTTATCATCTTCATTAGTTTTTCGTATAAATCGTAAATTTTTTTGTTTAATGCTACTAAGCGTCCAGGTCAATTCCGCAGCGTTCACATTGTTTTTAGAAATTTCAGATTCAGGCACATCAGGTCTTTCTATTTTGTTATTTTTCTTCGTTGACTTTGATTTCTTTTTTCTTTCTTTCGCTGTCTCTAGGAGTGGTCCAAAATTTTCTTTGTCCTCTTTCATTCGTTTCTTCATGATCATCGCTTTTGTTGTGTTTTTCCGAACAGGTAATCGAATGAAATTTAAACATCCCACCACTCTCACCACTTCCAACATCTTCAGGGGTAACATAACCCCAAAAATCGGTGTTGAATAGTTTTGAAGGCTAATTTCGAGGTGACATGCTTTGAGAATTATTCACCTTCTTCACAACATAGTCTTTAATTTACTGGAATTAAATATAATGTGTACTTCAATTTTTTAGAGGGAAAAAAAGAGGTAAAAGGGATGAGGAATTGTACACAAGAGACAAGAGTAATTGAACACAACACATGTCTATAGCACTCCGATGAAAACCGACATTTACCGAATAAAGTCGATGTTCAAAATAATGCAAAAAAAGGTAAAGCCACTGCATTATTCCAACATTGATTAAAATATCGCACATTTACAGGAATTTCAGCCATTTGGTGTCAGTTATTTAAGCTGAAACCATATAGTATGCGAAGAATAAAAATAATTCAATTCTCCTTACGGACTTCCTTCTTAGTGATAACCTCGGATAGCATTGCAGATTAGAAAGGATTGAAACGAATACAAAAGACGGAAAAATCCCGTGAATTGAATAACACAGTAATCTCTTATACAATGAGAATTCTCCTTCTCCCCTTCATCATTAATATTTAAACAATAATTTCGAATGGATCCATGATCGATCCAAACATGATACTGCAGTTTCCAATGGAGTGCATTCAGCACTTGAGTAACTCGGCTTCACAATCGACGTAAATTCACTCGATGAAAGGGTAATTCGGATTGAGTTACAGTGCAATGCCAGCCACCGAGGAAGTTCAATGGGTAGACTATCAGGCACTGATCTCTGATATCTCAATAGCTTCAATTAAACTCAATCTCAATTTGGCTCCTTATCCTTATGTCCTTCCACCCTCTACCCTTCATTTCAGATCGGAAATGCAATCGCAGCGACGAACTAACGGTGTCAGTGGCATTGTCAATCTTAATTGAAATATCGAGCATTAAGTCATTAAGGCATTAAAGACCTGAATGAATGAAAATATTATTACATCTATTGATTTCTCCGGAAGAATTAATTATGTTCTGTCTCCTTTCTGTCAAAAAATCCTCCGTTTTGGCGGTTTATAATTATTTAATAAGCCCCAAAATGTGCAATAATTTTCCTGTGGTTTTCTAATGTTTCCAAAATTCACAAAATATGAGAAAAAAAATAGGAAAATTAATTAAATTTTTGGGGTCAATCCAAAAAGGGCAGACTCGCTTGCCATTATTTCATTTTTCGTTTTACTTAGGAATAAATTCCTAATTAACAATTTAAAAAATAGAGAGAAAAAAGATTTTTCTGGAAGAAAAAATAATAAGCGCTGAGAATGATTGTTCGCGAAATATTCGGCATTTATTCAGGAATATAACACGGCCGTATGTTTATGCAAAATTGATATTGATGATACAACTACCACCGCCAAAGTGCGCCCTTCTCATATGGAGGGACACAAATGCTCTAGTAATTGATGTAGTTGCGTGAGACACTCGTCGCTAGAAGAAGTATTGACTTGAAATAATTGCCCGTAATCTTGATGAACGATATGAAAGGATAGATTCATGGAATTCTTACATGAGAACAGAATACCTCCGAGGTAAAATAAAACGCAATATCAGAGACATATCTTTCCAAATTGAGACTTTTCCCATGTCGTCATTTCATGACGCCATCCTCCCATTTTTCCGAGATATTCCCTAAAAAATCAGCACTGGCATGAGTATTCAATGAAATTATTCATTACAACTTTGCATTATTTCGTTAAAAACATTTTTTATTACCTAGAGTCCATGAGAATATATTGCAAGCATTATTAATCTGGCTATCAACGATGATTTATTCAGTGCAACGGTATGTTTGTTGATGGCTGGTTAATGATTTTTAAATCAATAAACCCGCGGCAAGAAAAATGTTGCTTCAATGAGGAATGTCTATTTTTGTTATAAATCACTTTTCCACTCGGTGTAATAGTGTGCAACAATTTTCTGAATGACAGCTGTGACACTGGGAGAATATTCCATCGGCTTGAGAAGTAATTTTAAAAAACGTAATGATGATATGTCGGATTTCAGATAATTAGAACGCACTGTTTAATCCTGTCAAACAGTTTTAGTGTCGCTATTTCCTTGAATTTTTTTCAATAACTGTTTAATTCACTTTTTCCATTCTTCTGGGGAATTAATATAATCTTGGACAGTAAACGCATGACTAGGGAAATTTGTGAGTTATCAAAGAATAATAAAATGTAAAAACGGTATATTTTCGCGTCAATCTGATCTAGTCAATAACTCCTTAAACTTTTTTTGAATTTCGGTGTTAATTGTAAATTGTAGATTAATATAAAAATTTGAATTTTGCATAAAGATTGAAAAATATTTAAAATACTTAAGACCCTGAGGAACATATTCACAAAATCCCTTTCACTGCACATGAGCGAATAAAAATACTGCAAAAAAAAATTGAAAAATGAAACATTAAAATCGGTTTAGTTGGCCGCACAGGAACCCGTAGATTATACCACAATTTTCCTTTTCCCAAAGACCGACCGACGATTTTTCACACCTATTTCCCAAGGCTCCCCCGAGATTTCCCATGATCCCGTCGAATTTTAATTACATCAATTAAGAATAACAAACATGCAAGGCAGTCCCTGAGACAAGCAAGAAAAGGATAACATTATTTTAAATGGTCTGGCGATCAAAGTGCCCGCTAAGCCTCTCGGGTAATAATGAAATTGTCAATTACTCTTCTTTTATATAATGTTTTTACTCTCATTTATTGTAACGACAATTGGAGTCTGAACCTATCCTGGCCTGGGGCGGTAAAGAGCGTAAAACCGCCACTGACAAGTACGATCCATAGATCTTTGCCAACGCAAACATGATCGTAATTCAGGTGGATGGATAGACGCAGGCAACGATTGTTACGTTTATCACGTACCCAGAGGCACAGGAAATCTTACACTCGACATCTTGGCATCATAACGTCCTTCGTTTCAGCATCAAAATTGTTTGGATCATGAAAAATTGGCAAGTTCTGTAATGCAAATTGTCCCCTCGGGTCCATAAGTAATTGCCAAGATGTAGGACACATGACATTGTCATCATTCTTATCTGTGGCACTTGAGGTATGATCTGGGGAATGTTGCATGGGAGGAAGTGCCATGCGAGAATATTGAATTAAAAAAAAATTTTAATCCATTCGAGTGTTGCGTAATTGCAGGTGTAACAGTGAAAGTCACGAAATTTAAGATGCGTACACAAAGTTCTTTTTATTGTCATGCTGTGGAAGAAATATCTCGACCGCTCCCACGATTTATTATAAATATATATTGTTAACATTCGCATAAGTATGTCTAATTAATTTGTGAATGTTCAGGATTTTCTCGTATTAGTAATCACTCACTTCAAAGACCTGTGACCAGAGCATCTATGACTCAAATCCGAATTCATTTTCTTGTCGGAGTTTTTTTGATAGGACGTAATTCTAATTGCACTCATCGGCCCTTTTCATACTGATATACATAAATGTTGTTAAAAAAGATTGTTCATCCCAGGGGTTTTCTTGCGTGGAAATTTTTATATCATTTCCACCTGTTAATAATAAAACGAGCCGTCATTAATTGTACCATAATATATGGAGGTACAATCGTATACAAATTCCTCTCCTCCTGACAAATTAATTAATTAATAATCATAATTGCAAACGTATTGATGGTAATTGTTCTATGATTAGTTTCGTTTCAAGGCTGAGATGAATTCTCTAACAAAAATAATTATTTGGGCCTCCAACAAGATTGCAGCAGAAATAGAATTGATTCGTTAAAGGTAAAAAATATTTGGATCATAACGATTAATGATGCTCAATCAGAGAAAAATCTCTGGATTTTCTGTTTTTGCACTTGAACAATGTGGAAAGAATTCATAATTACTTATATTTTCATCAAACGAACAATTTGTCGATTCCATGTGTGTGAACTTTGTCCCTTCCTCCTAGATCCTGCAGTTAGTGTCATGCAGTATATTTCGTCACAGCTCCAATTCTATTTTTCCCCTGCAGAAAAAGAAGGAAAAAGGACTGTCCAAGTGAAGAAACTCAAACTAGGAGTAGAACCGAACCAACTATAAAAGTGGGTGTGCCAGCCACTGTCCACATCAGTATCACATCAGCAGTATCACTGTGCATCAAGCTGTACTATCTCCAAACCGATACCAACATGAATGCTCTGGTGAGTTTTCCATTGAAGAAAATTACCAATTTCCGGATTGTAATGGAATTTATATCGGCTCTTTGGTTTAGCTCATTTTCACCATTCTCGCTCTGGCTTCTCCAATCTTTGGTGAAGAGGCCATTGAGCAGAAGAATCAGCAAAAAAGAGGAGTTGTTCCAGTTGGATATGGCGGACAGTATCTAGGAGGATACAATACTCTTAACTACGGATACAATGGTAAGAATTAATTTTTCCATTTTTCCTATTGTCATTGACGAATGGACAGGAGGAAATATAGAAATTATTATCAAAAAAATTTTCATTCACAATCAGAAATAAATGTAACACCAGAAAAAAGTCATGAGGTCGAGTTATCGTATCATCTTATATTCTAATAAATAAATATGTTATTATTACTATTGCTATGAGTTATCGCTGTGATTCCAATAATTTTTAGGACTCTCTCATGGATATTTGAACAACCCTTACTACTATGGGCACTCAGCTCATGCCCCAGCTCCACTTGCCACTTCTCCTCTTCTTCTGGGTCACGGTTACAACCATGGTTACAACAACGCTTATCAAGCTCCACTCTACACTGCCCCAGCAGCCCGCCTACCCTACGCCGGTCTTGGTCACAATCTTGGATACTACAACTCCTGGTAAAAAGCCTCAATCACTGGTTATCCTCAGCCAAGAACTTATGGAATTCCGGATCAATTATTTTATCATCATTGTCCCCCATTCTCATTGTTCCCTTTAATAGCAAATTTAAAATTTAAGAATAGATTTTAAGGAATTTTTACTTTGTATTCGCCGGTGTCTCTAAATATATTCGGTCATTTAAATTCACGATATAGTTGTATTTTTTTTTAATTGAATCTCTTATTATTTAATGAGTTTTTCAATACTTTTTATTTATATACCATATTTGTTGATGTCTCACTGACTCAGAATTTAATTCCCGATCGATTGGTATTGATTTCCTTCCGTCATCTCGTCTTCATTCCATTTATCCATTTTCTGCTTCTCATTCTTCATCTTTTCAAAAAAATCGGTCGTGCAAAATCGATTGAGAATTCCTCTGGTTTCCTCAGTAACAAATCCTAATATACAAAATCTTATCCAACGATTTCCTGTGACGTCACAAGATGTAGGACGATTTATAAATTTTCCGTCTGACTTTGCGTCATCATTTATGAAAAATTATTGCAACGAGAATGAACGCGCGCTGCAGCGCTGTAATTGCAAAATGTTCATTCAGTTATTCGAACACCACTGCGCAAAAATAAAATAATCATTTGGCAAAGGCATGAATTGTTTGCGGAATACGTGAGTTATCAAAAATTTTTAAATCCACAGAAATACTCGGGTCATAAAGAATATTGCTCATCTTCAATGCTGCTCATTTTCTTTAAAATTTTTATGAAAAATTGACATTTTCCACAACGTTTTTCCCTATCCTATAGGTTTCAATACTAAAGATTGCTCAACAGTTCAGCGAAAACCGTTCGATAATATTGAAAAATGTCCACAACTCCTGCCTTTGCATATTCAAATTTACGATAAAAATCATTGTTTAAGTAGAAAAATCAAATTTTATGTCCCAGACGTGAGTCCGGCATCTTCTTCCTCAACCCTATCTTATTACATGAGTATAAATACTGTCACATTCCCAGCAGGAGCTCAAAACCGTTAATAAACTGTGTAATAAATATAAATAAAGCACTACTCTTATTCAACAATGTCCTCTTTACTAATTGGTTCATTGCTTATTCTCACCGCAATTTTTCACGGTAAGTAAAGTAAATTGGAATTATTGATTATAATAAGCGAAATAATTGTTATAATCTGCAGGTGGACACGCTATACTTGATGGATTTGCGGCTTATCAATATGTTGCGTACATGGCCCAGATAACAAAAGTATACCCTGTGTGTGCAGGTACTATTATAAGTACGACGCACATCCTTACCAGTGCCCAATGCATTTATAATTATGATCCCAGCGAGTTAACGATAATTGCTAGAGATAGTCAAATCATCCTTCTGAAGTTCATTATTATACATCCAAAATACAGGCCATTTCACGGACAGACTTCTACCGATTATTATTCGGAAAGTGATAATGTTGCCGTCATTAAGGTATAATTATATTCTACACGAAAGTCATGAGAGCCATGAATTTTCTGATGCAGTGGTGTAATTTCAGATAGTCCTGTTGAACCCATGGAGTTCACAGTATCTGGTCAACATACCCCAAAATACTAGCAATTGACTTTAATTATAGGCAGGATGAAGTGGATTTATCTGTATTCTGTATGCATATGTTTTTTTTTTTGTAATACATAATCGAACTCGTGGTGGAGTGTGTTGACCAAATGACGTTAATCATTTAAAAAGGAGATCTGATAAAAATCAACCGTTTTTACAATAAAACCTGTTGAGTAAAGGACGAAAATTATCATGTAAAAATGGAAAATTCGCTGATTCCATGCTCTCGACATTATCTAGTATTATTATTAGTGAGTTGTTGCCTAAATCTGATAAATATTAAAAATTCTAGTTACAGAGAGACATAATACTCCACCACCGTGTTAAGGTATTGAAGGTGGTAGACGACGAAATTCGACCAAACTATGCGCTTTGCAGCATTGCCGGACCAGGCCAGACTCAGATGAATGCTCCATATTCCCCATATAACGGTTGGAATTGGTCTTACCTAGAGATCCTACCAGCTGCCCGTTGCGAGCAATTACTCAGAAAACATAGACCAGAAGAATTTTGCGCGAATGCATTCATGAACAGGCTCCCATTCAAGGTACGAATTCGGTGAACATTTGTCTCACAAATAATTCTTAATAATGAAAAACTTCTAGGGAGACGAGGGCAGCTCATTGGTGTGTGATGGACAACTAGTTGGTATATATACTGCTCCCTTCGATAGCGAGATGGAGAAGCCTTACTTTACACAACTTCCAGTTATTTTTATGAAGGTTTCCGCATATTATTCCTTCATTACTTCAGCCATGGAAATCAGTGAGATTGAAAAATTTGATGAAACATTTCTTTGGCAACTCAACTCAACTCAGCGGCCAACCGAATAAAATTATAGCTTAACATTATTTTCAGATTATGGTATACCTATTTTGATTGGTCACTTAATTGTTCACTTAATCGATCGTCTTGTGACTAATAATTACACTTGTACTCTTTATGGTCTTGATGATCTTCTATAATAGGTAGTTGATGAAAATTTAGGTGAAAGAGTTGAGTGATAGCTGATCAGAAATGCCATGAATGCTTCACGGGTTTCCGGAGTATAATTAAACTGAAATCAACAGCTTCCATTTTTTTCGCGACGTTATAAATTGTTAATGTTAAATAATACTCAGAGATTTAGTATGAAATTTTTCGTAGTATTTAAAAAATCAAGCGACGCATATCAAATCAAATCGATTCAAATCGACTGATTGCCTTCACGAATAATTAGAGCTGTAGTGCTCAAAATTAATGACAACATATACCGATGTCATGTATATATATATTTTATATAGATAGACCGATAAACTGATTTCATTTCTCTATCCAACATAAAATTTGATATTATAATTTCTGTTCATTATTATTAGTTTATTCCGAAAACAGTGACACGGAAGTTTTCCGGAAGAACACAGAAATTTGTATTTTCACACTCGAACGATACATTTTCGTCGGCAACTATTAAACTTGTGTTCATTTCTTTTGTTGAATAATTATTAATATTCATTAATTATGGACCTAGTGCATTTGAAAATGAGAATGGTCTTAATTTTTCAGTTATCGACGATCTCGGCTGCGCCCTATTTTATTCATTCACGGTTTCTCACAATTATCGACATTCTCGTCACTGTGTTCTTCCTTACTGACCCAGATAATTCTCTAGTTCACGCATCACCACTATGGGATTTTCAATCTGTAATACCATCGGAGCTATTCATAGTTTTTCTCTGTGCTCCAATATAAACTTCAAATGTGATAATTTTATCATCTCCAAGAAGTAATTTACCGAACTAAGAAATGAGTGTCATCGCAAGGAGTTTGATGAATATAACTCGTTCTTACTTGGCGAATCCTCTGCAAGGTAAATTAACAAATTATATATAATTGTTCAGAGGACAGTAAATATTTTCTCGTTCTAACCTCTCGTTAACCTCCACAACTCGATTTTTCTTCTGATAACTATTATATTATATATTCTATTCATTTATTTATATCTTCGAACCAACAGCTACTGGCATTTTTTATTCAATTTACTGACGATAATATTAATTAAGATATCTAATTTAAACGTTTCCTAGTGTTCCGGCAATATTTGTATTTTAATAATTATTTATATAATCAATCTGGGCACCACTGATAAAACGTGTTCTTCTATCAATTCGTGAATAATATATTCTTCCGAGAAAACTCGAAATTCGTCAGTTTTTAAATTTGTTACACATTTCGTTTATGAATGTTGTCTTTCCTCGCATGAATTATTGTTCCAAAAATGGTTGTTTAAACATTCTAAGCTAAACATTCTGTTAATTCTAATAATGCATAATCTATAAATTTTCAGGGAGTATCTCCAGTCTCGGAAGATTATGCGTCAACAGTACATTCACAGGTAAATGATAAGAGCATCTCCATTGTTGTCTTCTCCCCCTTTCCATGGTTTACATCAACTTCAAACACCTCCTGACAATATCTCAAAATAGTGAGTAGCGAAACCCGTTTGAAAACACCCTTTCAGGGATGAAAAAACTACCCGAGAAAAACCGGAAGAGATTTTTAAAGGATTAGTGGAAAACGTTGACCCATTTACGTGAAATCGTGCGAAATCACCATCTCTTTATTTACGTTCCCATCATACGTGAACGTAAAACCATGGCTAGTGCTTTGGTGTATCGAGTTTCTGGAGAATTGAGAGGAGAAAAGAGATACTGATCTGCTCTGAAAAACCTTGGAAAAAGGGTGACCAGGCATCGGAAAGTCCTCAAAAAGAAAAAGAAGGAAGAATGGTGGGAGTCCTGTGGTGATTCCCATCGTCCATCGATTCTTTCGTTTTCTTTATTTTTTTTTTGTTCGGTAAATGTGCGTGCAAAATACGCGTGGCCTCTCGCAAATGCACAGCTTACCTCTTTGATCCAACTCTTCTCAGCTTCACTGAAGAAAAGATATTTCACTCGGGGATGAAAGAAAAACTCCGGGACTGCTCTGACAGTGGGAAAGTAGTGGTCAAAACGATGGGAAAATTGAAGGGGTGACATGTCCATTTGCGGTTGACCAGTTGTCAAACGAAAATTTGGCAATTTTCGGACAATATGAGGTTTTATTTTTTTTTCACCTCAAGCATGAATTTCCAGGAATTATTTCTTATTTTTTTAACTTATTGCAACTCATTTTTTATATTCTCATATCGCATAAAATCAATAGACTAATGACATTTCCTACTCATTAAACATTTTTTTTTTCATTGTCGAGGCATCCGCCTATTTTTTTTAATTACCGTACTTTATTCCCAATTAATTTTCCTCTGTCATTCTTCAATATTTTATTACTGCATCTTGACAATCGAGAGAGTTTAAAAATTTTTTAATTCTCATCCTTTTCGCTGTTAAGGCACTCTCGTCAAGATTCATCTTCAAAAATTTCAGGTCCTTGACATTTTTAATTCTAAAATCGAAATAAAAATCTATTGTTCCTACTTCCAACCCCCATAACACCCCAATTCTCCCCAATCACCAGATAATTAATGAAGAATGATTCTCCCGAAAAATTGAATCTATCTCTCTGAATTTCGAAAATTCTGGTGAAAATTTTCCAACAACGAAACGTGAAAAAATATTCTTTTTCCATCATCAAAATTGTTTGCTGTCACTTCTCGGATTTTCTTCTGAATATTCACCACGAACGGCAGAATGAATGGTGACAAAGAAAACGTGCAATAAGAAACGTAAAAATTTTTCGCAATGTAATCTTGCGGCATTGATCTCCACGTAGAAAAAAGGGTTGGCTTTTGCTGGATTTAGGCTGTGGACACTCGGATAATGGGGTTTCTGCTGGTCCTCATGGCTCAGTTAAGCCCAAGTTGAGTCTAGGATTAGTCAGTGTAACCATTCGGGTCCCCTGGACATCTGTCGCATTGACGGACCGTGGTCAGTTGAACATCTCAAAGTGAACAACAATGCAGTTGTCTGAATTTAGTCGTTCGTCATTATTCGTTGCAACGTAGTTTAGGGTGATGCATATTGAGCCACCGAAAAATTCATGAATTCGGGTGATTATTTGGGACTCCAGGAAACCGTATTCTATCCCCATCAATTTTTGCTGCTCACTATTCGCCACGAAATCACGGATATTATTCATGCTAATTTCATTACTATTACGGCAGAATCATTCTTAAATAATTGACTTTTCTTTTCTCTTGAAATAGTAGTTAAGATTTATCTTTGAGACTATTCAGCCCATTATTTCAATAATCTCTTCTATCCCATTCCTCAGAACAAGAAAATTCTTTTACATTAATGAAACTTCATGAGGCATTAAATAATGATTAAATCTAAAAATCGTACATATTTATCTCATCAAGCATTCCTCAGAAATTTAAGAAAATCTTGAAAAATGGAAATATATCGGTAACTCCGTAACGAATTCCGTCCGAAAAAGGTAAAAGACTTTCCTTGCATTTCTTACAGAATATTGATAATCATAGAAGAATTGTTTATAAATTTTCTTCGATTTTTATCAGATCTTCTTTTCAAGTTATTCTCTTACAGATGAGCTCGTATGGAGCTTATTATATTCCGCTCAAAACTATTTCCTTATAATTTCTTAAAAGTTGTTAGAAAAAGTTGAAAAGGAAATCTAAAAAAAATGGAAGAAAATGCATAGAGAATTCGCCAATGATTATGGACATCCTGTATAAATTTCAAAGAAAGTTCATCTTTTACTTTTGGCCAATGAAACACATCGAATGGGCTGAAGTTCCACTGAATGAGTTATAGAATTAAGAAAACAAAAATGTGAATTGTAAAGATTTGGTTAATCCGAATCTCTCCTCCGCCCACATCTCAACCCGTGTCTACTAAAAAAGCTCGATACAACAAAAGAGTTGTACAGTTTTCAGGGAAATCTCGGTGACCACCAACCGTGCACAGGTCTCTTCCCGTTCGTAACAATGTTACTTAATAAGCTTACCAACGCACCACCGAGAAAGAAGAAAAACCGGGTTTAAGGAATATCAATGGGGGGAGGTGGAGTGTGGGATTGTGCCAATGTACCTTGAGAATGTCAAGCGTCCGTCATATTCCATATTCCTCATTTTTGAAACCCGTTGTTGTTGATTTACCTGCCCATCCTCTCCAGCTTGAGCCACCAACCGCAAGATTATTTGCGAAAGAGTTTTCGGCTTTTCTCTATATACTGTCAACCGTCCACCTTGATCACTCAAGCCCACCAGTTCTCATCGGTCTTCATTCTTTTTCTACAAGTTTTTTTTTTTCTTTCACTTGCACAATGGATTTTCGATCCCATCCCTCTGGGATTCACTCCTCTCCAATTGTAACGCCCAGCATCAACAACACTTGAAATTATCGAAAATTATTTCGAACACTCGACTCTGTTTTCTCTCAAATCAAAAATAAAATGCAGGACAATTATGGTGAAAATTCTTCAATGATGAGTGCACTAACACTGAGGAATAGAATTACTTCTGAGCAATTAGTTTAATTCAGTTGAATAAATTTACTTGACAAAATGCGAGGATTTTTTGAATGAAGAAAGAAATAATTCGAAGGCTTCCCTAAATTGTCTTTTCTCATGAATTATTAAAATCGATATTTAAATAATGAGTAGTACATTTGAAAAAAAAACATGAGGAAGTGACTTTGATCACGTTGAATAATTATTTGTCTTTTTTCTGGTCTCCTGCAACATTTAAAAAATGTTTAAAAAATGAAATGAATGAATTAATTAAAGATATTTTATATCGAAGTTACAAAATTCAAAATGTGTAGTAGACACGAAAAACGTGATCCTTATCATATCTATGAATCGGAATTATCCATACTGCCTAAAGCCGAACTCTCTAATGAATATGAGGTAAGCACATTTAACGACGTAATTATTTGATACATTACATTGTACAATACCTCCAAAAATACCTTGACTATTTTCCCTTCCAACTACGCAAAATGTCTCTTCAAAGCTAAAAACGGTAAACATCGGATATCACTCCACCACATGAAGATGAATTGCAATTTGAACATCCCACAACGTGATTTGGCAAATTCATAAATGACTTATTTGTTTTTCCTTCTAGGATTTACTGAGGCGAAGAGGTTTGGCTCCTCCCTCTTCAGGATGCACAGAACAGGGCCGCACATTAAAAAACGTACAAAACCGAAACCCTTAAACGGGCAGCCCTTTGCCAAGGGAGTGGTTATTAAAACCCTAATTAGAAAACCAAAGAAGCCGAACTCTGCAAACAGAAAGTGTGTGCTTGTTAAATTGTCTACCGGCAAGGAAAAGATTGCTTATGTACCAGGTAACTAAAGTAAAAATTTTCAGCGGTCACAAACCATCCATTTATTTATTTATTCAATCGTTATTGTTGAAAACAATTAAAGACGATTAAAGAATCGCATTTCGTCCCGCAGAGCCTCGATTTTTATGAATCTTCACGTATTGAGAAAATTTCTTGCAATTTATTATGGTATAAATCATGGAAATATTGCATTAATCTTTTTTATTTATTTATCTTGTGTTTCAGGGGAAGGACATAATTTACAGGAACACAATATTGTGCTGTGTAGAGTAGGAAGAGTCAAAGATTGCCCTGGTATTAAAATCAAATGCGTCAGAGGAAAGTATGATTTACCTCATGTCGTCAAGAAAGAAAATTGAAGACTTTAAATTCTATAATAATGTTTAAATAAACAGTTAAATAAATGCAGATCACGCTCAACAAACACAGGAGTTTGAAAGAATTATTTTCTGACACCTTTCCATTTCTGTTTTTAACTTTGAGATTTAAAATTCCATTGATAACGAATGGTAATTACATCGGATTACATCTCATTACACGGATAAAGCCCACAATTCAAATTTTTAATAATTTCCACCCCTTTCAAGCCTTTTATTGTCATGTGACAGGTGAATGAATACAAAATGAAACAATAATCAATAAAACAAAGCTAATTAATGATAAAATCGATCTCCATTAGAAAAGTTGAAAATCTTCTGAATTACCTAGACTTCTAAAGATTAACTTCTAAAGATTCCAGATTAACGAATCACCTATAATTACGAATTTCATGATTTCTCAATCCACGAATGAACTTGCAATATAATTTACAACCCTTTCTCTTTCAAAACAATAATTTGAAGAAAAATCATAAACCGATATTTAACTACGAAAATTAGACTTAATGGGCCTGTAATGGAAATTCAATTGACGCCAATATGAACTCAATAAAATAACCAAATTGACAGAAGATAAATGCTAGTTTGTGTTTAAATAATTTCAAATAAAGACAGATCGGCATTCACCGTTATAGTCGAATGCTCGATAATTTGACGTGTCAGCGTGGAATGATGAATTCGTAGACGGTCATGGATTGTGAAAATTCGAATTGAAATCTCTTTGACACACATTTCGCCTACGCATGTAGGTGGTAGGTATAATAAAGAAGAAAAGAGGGTTGAGTATGAATATTGTACCGTTAGCTGGACCACGCGTCACGATGCATAATGCATTTTTCGTAGAGGCGTTTGGTTTTGAGGATGGGTAACAATGGATGGAAAAAGAGGGGCAGTTTAGATGCATTGGCCCCTTCGTTTGTGTGTTATTACGGAAGGGTTGTCCCATTGGACCTTCGGCCACTCTCGCATCTGCAGCACAAATCCACCCACGCGACCACTCGCCGCATTGACCATATGACATGCTGACCAACATTCTTTCTATTTTCCAAAAATCCGGTGTTCCATTCCTTCTTTGTCCCAATTTTCAATTATGAAAACAATATTTCTGACAGTTCTTATTTCCTTTTTCGTTAAATTATTCATTGTCTATTTCGAAATCCAAAAAAATCCGCGGAACTATTAAATTTCAACAACCATTAACCGAAAATCTTTCAATCGTAAAATATAAATTAACGTTACAACTTATTGCCTTTAAAATCAATTCTTAAACTTTATTTGAATATTTTTGAATATTTTTTAATTTTATTTCAATCTGGCGAAATGAAGAATCTGAAGAAAACTTGTTCTGTCGAATTTATAATAATCTGTTGACAGTAGATTGATTTTTAATTAATTTCCATCCACAATTAATCTTCAGATTCGTATTGGTAAACACACTTACTCGCTTAATATGTGATTAGCAGCGGAAGGCTTATTATTTTTGTTCTGGCCAACAAACGGATAATAACGGGGTGAGAACCTCAGCATCATGGAGCAATGACGCTACATTATTTCCTGAATGACCTGATGCCAAAATTCATTTTCGTGCTAGCGCTCTGGCAAAATGTAATTCCGAAGGATTATAGCTTCGAGAAAGGGTCGAGTGTTGAATCATCGCCGGTCGATGCTGAAAAAACACAAGAAAATTATTGAATAATCATAGCATTTTGGGAGTGATTAAATAATGATAAAACGGTGTATTCTTTTCAGATCAATCCGACCAACAATTCATCAGAAAACTTAACAAAGCAATAATTTATAAATAATTAATTTACTTCTTGACTCTACCGCTCCGTTCCACTAATTCCGTTGACTCGAGCGCTGAAGTTGTACAAATATTTAACAGCACTTAGAAGCATTAAAATTTTTTTTGCCAAATTTGTCAGGTCAGAGTGGATTTGAAAAAGGGCCTGGGTCCACGAGCAATTTCATAATCTGGATAATAACAGTGTACCGAGTTTTTCAACGTTAGATTTTGGTACCGCCGTTATTAACTCATTTAAAACCATTTCTTGTCGTCGAAAGGTAAGAGATTGGGGAAAGTTAATCCGATGTGCCAATCGAGTTTTTCGATAATCCCTTGTTAAATGATTTTTCAAGTTGTCCAGTTTTACCTTTTTGCCGTTATAAAATATTTTTAGGGTCTGAAGGGGGTTTCGAGTGTTGGTTAAATATTGGGTACCTGATGTACCGCAATTTTATGACCTTTCGACGATTACTGTTTCTTTTCCTTTCGAATTTTTCGTACCAATGGGTCTTTCGGAGGACCATTTAGCAGGGGTGAGGGTTCAAATGAGGGAGGGGATGACCAGTTAGTTTATGACGGTTTTCCACAATCATCATGGCTGTTTTGTAGTTTTAAGCTACTGACATCGTTTTTTCATATATCAAAAAATGAATTGGGTGGTTGCTGTTTTTTACAGACTACTGGAGAAATTCTATTGCTTTTACTCTTCGGGTGATTTGATTCTTTTGGGTAATAACCGAGGGAAATTCAATTCAATCATTCGGGAAAACTCGGGAAAACTCAGTGTGTGGACAACTCAGACAAGTAAGTGCTTCTCTTTTCTACTCAGACCGGTACAACTCTTTGCCGAGGAGATTAGTAACTCGATATCCATTTTTTTTTGTTCTGCTTTTGAAAAGTTCGGGGGAAAACTGGCGGCTTACCCTTTCCCAGGTTTTCCAAATTTTGTGCGGGATTTTTGGGGACAGTTACATTTTAGAACGCAAATAAATTGCGGAGAGGGGAAATTCTAACGGCTGTTTCTACGGCAGCTTTGTTTTGATTTTTTTACGATATTAACTTAACAGAAGGAAAATGTGGAAGAACTGTGTCTGTGAATTGAAAATTCTCCTGTATTTTCAAAACATTTAAATTGCTGAATATTTATATTAAAAATTGGAGAATGGATTCGATGATTTTGGAAATAAACCGTTTTATTCTTATAACTCAAAAATTCACGTTCACCCAAAAAAAAACATTACGAAAAAACTGGAATAGTCTCACACACTAAATTTCCTGAGAATAAATATAAAATATTCGAAATATTATTCAAAAAAGCAACGAAATTTGAAAAGAGTATTGTGCTGTGAAATTTTTGTAAAAATGAACAATTTATTTGTCAAAAATAAAAATTAATCGACTTTTAACACTTCTAGAATGAATTACGCATGATGAAAAATGAATGCGCCTTGACCTCTGGTAACAATTGAGAATGGAGACTTCAACGATTCAAGACCCCAAACAGAAAAGGCGTGTCCACCACATGGAGACCAAAGAAGACTGAAAAATAGAAAGGAAAAGCCAAAAAGAAAGTGACATTTCCCGCGAGAGTAAATGGGCGTGAGGGGCCGGAAGTATGCAAAATTCTCTGTTTGTTGGCAAAACTTGGTCGGTGGTCTCCAAGGTGTCCCCATGATGAATCGATAATTAATTACCCCACCGGATTGACCATGATGAAACCTAGTGCACCCCCAGTGTGAAATCCCCGTGTGTATTACTATTTTCCTTAAACGTCTTAATGTCCCTTCTGTTGACCATTCCCAGATCACATTCTACTCATTTATTTTTCTACATAACCGAAAAACTTTTTTCCATCCTTTCCACGATATGAGGATGGCTAATGGTTAGACCTCCCTTGGATAACTTCCTCTTCTTTTTATCCCTCTGCGCAGAAGTTCAAAACATCATCCAAATTTTTTCTTCCCCTTCCTGTTAATTGATCTTTCCAAAAAGAAGATGAAAACAGGAAAAACATTCTCTAACAACAAAAATACATACTCGCAGTTTTTTTTCAATTGAAAATTACTGAATGTTTTAAATCTCATAAATTACGTATTTTTTTTAAGCTTATTCAATAAAAATGGCAGACATAAAGTAATTGCATTGATTTATAACGAGAAATGAAATAAACGCTCATCGTAATTATGAATAATTAATAAATAATATTATTAATATTATAATAATCACAGTTATTCCTGGTTATTATTCATAATTACATATACTTGCATGATACAAAATGATAAATTGATTTTCGTGCAAGTTGTAATACCGACGGAATTCGGATACGGAAAACAATTAACAATCAATAAGCGATAATTACGTAAAGTAACGAAGGAAGACATTTGCTCATGTGATTCAACAAAATAGTGACTCAATCAGCCTGGGGCGCCAAAATACAATGATCCAACGTTTATCGCCAATTACTCTCCTAACGATCATGTCATTCATTAGTCGATATCAATTATCGCGCGATAACACTGAGTAATTTGTGATTTCCCGCCTCTTTTTTCAACGCTTTTCCCTTTCGCAGATAATATTAGAAAGAAGCATTGCCACTGTGGAAATTCCAATTCCCAAATCCCTCATTAATTTCAGTTCAACATCAACATCTTCCGGTATTCAAAATGGGACCATAATTTCCGGGACTACTCTACGTGCGCCAATATTCTGACGTAAATCCCAGCAATAAACGATTTGAGCTAAATATGAGTAGACAAATGAATAACATTGTTCGACCTAAATAAAACATTAAACATTAATGTTCATTTTTCTTCCTGAAAGGTAGAATGAAAGGAAAGGAAATACGAGGTGAAATGTTATAGTTCAGGGATTCGGCCCATTCAAGGCCCGGGTAATAATCGATTATTACACTTAGCCCTCCCCCACCCCCCGAAGGGCCGCAAATGCCCTGAAGTGGGGCCTTTTTATTGCACTATTTTACGATCAGGGACGAGGCGAAAATGGCAACATTTTCTCGCCAGATGATAAAGTTAAATCTTAAGGGAAAAGTGGAAAGGGTGACTTTTAATGTTTAATGCTCGAAGGTCTCGTGGATGCAAAAAAAAGTGCAGTAAAATTTCGGGGAATTTCTTGTACTCGGTAATTAAATAGCCGGAGAAATGGGATGAGTGAGTCAGGTCGATGGTGAAATGGTCTATTGTGCTGGGATTTTTCATTCATGGAAAAGCACTCGGAATCAAATGTGAAATGTTTTTGGAAGAGTGGATGGCAGGTAGTGGACAACTGACCCATCATAAAATACCTTTTGCGTATCTTCATCCCGAGGGGTTTAAGTCTGAATATTTTTGTGAGAATATATATTCAACTGAAAAAATTGAGGCAGCGGAATATTTTCAGGTTTCACAAAATATAATAATGATAATAATATAATTGATAAATAATTAATACAGTAATATTGATTTTGATTGATTGTTTTTTTTAAATATATATATACATACATTCCACCGTCTAGACTGGGTAAATAAATAAATAAATAAATAGATAAATAAATAAATAAATAGAGTCCTACGGATTATGAAATATTCTTTCTATTTTCCATACCGGTAAGAATAGGAAATTTTTTCTGTAATATTCGTCAGATTTTTTTTGAATGAGTCCTATGGGGATTGAGACATTCAACTCCCATTTACATGGAAAGGAGTGAAATTGCAAATCCACCGTAGAACATTTCTTCCCGTTATGTCCTTTGATGTGAACATAGGAATCTAAAGGCAGGTGAAGATGTGGAAATGCGCGTGGCTGAATTTTCTCGTTTGGGGGAGTCTGTCACACGCATATAACATGTACAGAAATGGGGAAATCTGGTGATGCCTGGTGATGTGCCTGGTGTTATAACGGGTTGGATTGTGCACCATTCAAATGTGGGTTATGTGGCCAAAAGAGCAAAAATTTGTATACATGGGAAAAGGGCCCTACTCTTGAATGCCCGGGTGCGGAAAAATCGTTTGAATAAGACACCACGGGAATTTTCTATGTGAAAAAAGGCAGAATGAAAGAGGAAAATAACGGGAGATGTCGTTCCCTTTAGCGGAGGCTCTGGTACACGTCGTCAAGCAAATTTTCCGTGATTATTATGGGCTTGGACGACATAATAAGACATCTAGGAATTGAGGAAGAAAAGATTTTTCTCAGTCTTCGATTTATCCTGTGAATTTCCCATGTGAATTTCAATCCCACAATTGAAATAATCAATGGGAAAAGGATTCATTTACTGAAGAATTCAGATCTACTGAAATCCTCATTCGTATGAGTTAATAAATCTTGGATGACGGAAAGAATTGATTGGAAGAATTGTCTTTGAATTTTTTCATAACTCAATTCAGTCCAGATTTTAAATTTAAGACAACAAACAATTTTATTCGATGGAAAAAATCATTTCCAAAATAATGGTACTTCAAATTAGTCGGATATTTCTCTCAAAATTAATGGCATACAAACGGAAAAAGAAAAATATTCCATCCCGTCAATTCATTACGTAATATTATTTCCACTCATTGATAATAATAATCACGATTTCGAGTACATTGTTCTACAATTTTCTCGAGATTTTGATATTTCAAATCGCAGAAAATGATAATTAGCATTTTAATGTAATGTAGTACCGCCTCTAAATTTTTCATAGTAGTCCATCGGTGAATGGAAATCCTGTAAGATTCTCTGAGATGTCGGAAAATCCGAAGCTTTGATTCCTCCAATTCCCCGAATTGCCTTAAGTATGCATATATCCAATAGGAAGCGTCCAATAAATAACGGATTTTCCAAAACAATTGCATTGAGGATTGTACCCACGTATTCTGAAAATATTCCAGGATTCATAATGATGAAATGGCAAAAGGGGTAGTAAGCTGGAGCAACTCTGACTCCCCAGGAAATAACCCCCTGGAGTGAGCTTTCAACCCGTTCCTTCCTTAAATTTCGTAAATTTCACTCGTCCCAATAATTTATGACATACTTTACGCAAATCGTATGACTGCACATTGGAGAAACATGCGGCTAAAGTTGGACACTGTGAAACAAATTCTTGCGTCGTTGTAAGCCTTTGGAGACACTGGAAGACAATGCTGTCTTTGAAATATTGCAGAAGAACGTCCTCGGGGTCGAGATGGGTGTCGATGGGGGCGGAGGCAGCAGGATACAAAGACATTTTTAAATCATCAATCAAGAGGTACTTCTAGCTACCGACGACACTCTTAACTCTTTGAGCCCAACCTGCTGGCACCTTTACCTTATTCCAGGACCTTGTGTCTTAGGAACAGGGGTGAAGGATTTAGGCCAACTAACTGGATTTTAGAGAATCCCGTGTCTTAGCTGGATACCTGGAATTAATTCCCTCTGTCAATTTGCTGGGCATGGGTTAAGGGCGAAGGCCAATGGTATTTTGATAGTTCTGTGTACCAGGATAACGCTTTAAGCCTTTTTTGGAAGTCAGTGGCAGGTTTTTCAATGCTGATTTGATAAATCTGGTGAAATCAATTATAGATTCTTCCATTTTCAAAATTCTTCTATTTTCGGTTTTTTAAAATTGTCCAATGCCTCTCATTTTACTAGGAATTTTTCTTGAAAATTCTTTTCAATGCTGCAAAATGAATAATTCATTTTAATACATCAAATTGTTCTAATAAAAAAATTATTATAGAATATTCCAGTCCTCGAAATCGGTGGCTGGTCCAATGCTAGTTTGAAAAATCAATTGCACGTATTTTTAAAAAATTATAAATGCTAACAGTTATGTCGAATATATTTTCAAATATTTTTTGTATATTACTGGAAACGGTTGAAGTTTTTGTTAATATTTTTTGATGTACCTTTCGGGTGAATTTAGGAATATTCACAGGATAATAGAAGAAAACATTTTTACAATCAACGAATTCTGCTCCTCGAAAATAAACCAAATGGTTTTATTACAGCCCGAATGAAAAAGAGTTCGAAGAAACGGACGGAGTGACGTTTTCCGGGAACAATGAGATGGTTAGCCATTTTTTTTGCGCAGTTTGCCTTTTTGAGAAGGTTGTAAAAATTTGGGAAAGGGTCGACCGATCCTAAAGTTCGAATAGTCTACGCAGATTAACGAAATAATGTAATTGCACGGATTGAATCGTTTTGGACTCGAGAACTATAAAAACGCCGTTGAAAAATGCCTTTGTCAATTTGTTGAATATACTCTGACTTTTACCTTCAATTTTTTAATTAAGGAGTTACTGCTGATATCTTGTCATCCTTCAAGTTTATCGATAATTTACCAATTTCGGAGAAACAATTGATGAAATTGATATAAAAAAATATACCATTTTTAACTTCAACTTTTACTATTATATTATTATTATCTAATTATTATATTATTATTATTTAATTATTATTGAACAATAATTCAATGTCCCACAAAGTTTCATCACCTTCGAAGAATTCTCGAATGTTCTCAGTAAACTTTTGCAAAAATTCACAAAAATTTTCCAGAAATTTCTAAAAAACCTGTCTAAAAAATCATCAAATTCCGAATTATTGAAGAATCCTTCGTATTTTGCGGAGATTTCACAAAGATTTCGTAATAAATAATCCCGTAATAAAAGTGTGAGTTTTCATTGAAATGCCACGTCACAGTACGTGGATTGAAACGTAATTCATATCTAATCGTTTCTGCTGAGAATTTGGGAAGTACAATGACATACGCCCAGGAATGTCACTCAGAATGCCAGAGGTAAACAAATTCTCGTAAAATTTCGGTTTGAATTTAGACGCGTGCCAAGCCCCCACTTGGTCTGTCCAATGGGTCAAGTTGTGCTCCTCCCCTTCAAGAATTTGTTACCCTCACTCTTGGCTACTTTTTGGGGACCAGTCCCACCTACACATCTTCTACCTTGTAAGGGTTGTCCACTATATAAACTCTGGAACCACCCCCTAACAGTGGTATACCGTTCTCGGACTTCGGAACGAACAGTTCGTGGTTCTTCAGTGGTGAACAACCCTCAACTCGTATTATTTCGATTTATTCTATTTTTATTTCAACTACCAACTCGGAATCGTCTAGAGTCTGTTTGTGTTGTTTGTTGTGTTTGATAAGTGAATTGACCTTGGAATTCTTTGAGAGGTAATTATCTTCATATTTTAAAGGAATTCAACTTTCCATTTCGTCAGGCTAGTACAATTATCTGAAGAACAAGTGATTCGAGAAAAAAATATTAAAATAATTAAAAATAAATTATTTCATAGAAAATTATCTCCAGTGTTTACACATTAGATAACACCCTTTTCGTCTTCAAGATATTCGTATCGTCGGCAGAAATTCCTTTGTAATTTTTATTTTCTTTTCATTCACAATCAATATTACTTTGAATAGTCTTGGGCAATTCTAAAACAAAAATTTCACCAAGAAGAAATACTTGAGACAAGCGAGACCTGAAATAAATTCATGAAATCTTCCTTTAAATTCTTGTCCAGTAAATATTTATGTGAAATGTTCCATAATAATGAATAAAGAGTCGATGACTAAATATTAAAATTTTTCCAGAAAGTGATATTGACTTCCAATGACAATGGAGTCCTGCAATGAGTCCCAAATCGGTGAGCACGCGCTGGACTTCACAAAATCCTCGAAAGAAGAAACAGAGCCACCGATTCTGGACCTGTCCTGCAAGAAAGAGCAATCATCCCAACGAACTGCTTACAATTTGAGTCCAGCATTCTCAGAGTCCCTCTCGTTCTCTCCGCCAAGTGAGTCAACATCTAGTGAACCATCCCAGCACCAATTGGACTTCAAAGAAGAACGAAAGAGTCCATTCGAGGGTCGAACATTCATGGTGACACCACCCTCGGAGTCTGATTCTCCAAAAAAATCAAAGTACGAGCCTATCTACCCCCAGATGTCTGCAGTACCCACCGACATAACTCATCGTTATCCCCTTCTGCCAAAGGCCCTGCCGATGCCCTTGGCAATTTGCCCAACAGTTCCATCTCTTCCGATCAATCAGAATGGAGGAATAACGAATCAGATTCAGATTCCAGTGTCCACTGCCTATCCCTCAGTGATGAATCAAGAGGTTTCTAGTCCTCTGGTTTCCCCAGAAACATCGAAGAAGGCACCGAGACCCTTCAAGGCTTATCCAAAGGACCCTCTAGCCCTCACAATGGGCCCCGAGATCATCTACGATCAGAACTCTAACGAAGCTTACTCGGAATTCAGAAAGAGAATGCTCGATTCTGTGAGGAGAACCAATGAGGGTACCAACATCAAAATGAGGAGGGTCAGCAAAAGCCCTGGTCTACCCACCAGCACAATGGGAGCACTGGATGATAAAGATGCTGCCTACTGGGAGAGGAGAAGAAAAAACAATGAGGCTGCCAAGAGATCCAGGGATGCACGGAGAGCTAAGGAAGACGAAATTGCCATTCGTGCTGCTTTCCTTGAACAAGAAAATATGAAATTGAAGTATGAGCTAGTTGCATTGAGGAATGAAACTGCGAAGCTTAGGTGTATGGTTTATTCAAATTAATTTTAGTCAGAGGTTTAGCATCCACGTGAGAATGGGGGAGATTTTTTGAAATAGGTTGGACTGAATTTCAAAAATCTATACGCCGATTTATTCTTTATGATCAGGAAATCATAAATCTGAAAATATTTGTCCAGTTTGGGAAACTTTTTTTTACGGAAACGGAAAGAATGGGTTGAAAATTCTCTCGAAACCTCGATTTATATTTTGCTAAAATGTCGGAAAAGGGATATTGAAGGAAAGGTCATGAGATCAGGAAATTTCACGGCCTACATGTAAGATCATTCGATGCTTTTCACTAGTTCCAAAGATTTTTACTGAATAGGGTGTGAAACTGTTTTATGGACGGACGAGGTCAATTCACACCGGTCTTATTAAACATTAGAGACCTCAACGCGAAGTCTTTTAGCTGCTAAATAATATTTACAGGCTATACATGTACATATGTTTATAGATTTGCACATAAAAATATATTAATTGTAAATTCTTAGGTTTAATTGGATTTTCAATTCACACAATTTTAATAATCTTTATTCTCTCTTTTTGAATATCTTGTGCCATAAAATAAGATAGATGTCTTCCTACGGGTGCCATAATTCACGTGAAAGGTTTAATGAGTTCAAAATATAATTCGTTTTCAGTCTATATTCTCTTTTAATTTTATTCCATCTGTGTATATTTCATTGGCATCACTTCAATGTTGAACGAGCCTTTTGTGAGTTCATGAAATTGTATACAAAATAATCTTCTGGGAATTTTGTAAATTAATGGGGAATTATTTAAAAAGTTCGAAAATTACTAGCAAATATTTTTTGGACTCATGTTATTCCTCTCAGGTGATTTTTGCATTGTTTCATTGAGATTGACATTGAAACATTGCAACATTTCAAAATAATATTCATTTTTTGAATTTTTACAGAGAGATTTGGACTTGCGCTATATGATAGTAGATTTATCCAAAGGTTGATGAATTATTCACTCGTTTAGACCGTTAAGACTTATTACGTGAACTTAATACAGGGTTGAATCTCAAAGATAGTCAATAATGCTAAGGAAACAAAGGTCTATTTTTTTAGGGATGAATAAAAATTGCGGTGTGTGAATTTTTGAGTAAAAAGTTTTCATGTACATACAGAGACTGTTGTAATATTTAAGATATTTATAATTATAAGTAATAAACGAAGGGGTTTTGAAAAGACAAGCGAGGATTTGAATGACTCACGAAAATCTATATTTCCTTATCCACATTTTATTATTTATTTTAAAAATAATACTTCTATATACAACTCCCTTGCAATTATCAACTTTCTAGATTCTTTTCATTTTTCCGGGATGGTAAAGCTTCAGCTAAATCCATCATATTTGCATTCTCCAAGACTTCTCTTTCCATTTTCATATTTTTTGTAAGAGCTCCCGAGTAGGATTTGTGCATTAACTGTCTTGGAATGAATGATAGAGCTGCTAAAGGAAGTGCCACTTGGGCTTGTGAGTTTGCAACAGTAGAAGGAAGATTTCTGTCGTCGGAAGGTTTCGGAGTGGAATTTTGTAAGCCTGGAATAAAAGTTCTAGATTTTTGGTTTCTGTTAATACTCGGTTTTGGTTTATTGGCAGGTTTCGAATTTAGTTTGGGAGGATCGACTTCCATTGCATCTTCAGATTCTCCATTTTGCATATCTATATCTCTTATTTTTGCCTTCTTTTTTTTGTTTTCTCTTTTCAATTTTTCTTTCGTCTCCTTTGATGATTTCTGCTTCAATGACTCGTCGTATCGATAATTACTTGGAAATTTGTGGATTTGCATAGTGTGCTCTCTTCTCTCAACGGGAGATAAAAACTTCTCATGACAATCTGATACGAAACATTGATACTAAAATGAAAAGGAAACATTTTTTTTACTGTAAATAGAATTTAAAACAGAGTAAAAAATTGGGGTGAAATTAAAAGAAATTGTGGAAAGCAGAAGGTGAATACGAAAACTTCGAACCGATTTTATTGAAATAATATTAGCTAATCATTTAGGATAAAAAAATATTATGAAATCTTTTTTATAAATAATTATTTTAGCGTTTTCCTACTGAATTGATCTTCAAACTACATTTATTTATTTTATTAAAAAAATGTTATTCATTTTATCGAATGTTCCGAATTAATAACGATGTGGTTTAATATATTTTGAGTAATACCATCGGTTTTTTCTCTGCTAATACTCTGAAGAAACTGTCGTGCGTCTCTTGAATATGAATATCCAATAATCTCTCAGTAGGACGACTTTTTCTGCATTCCATGCACGTGAAACTGTGACAGCCATTGTAATGCATCTCAAAATCCACAAGTGTCTTGAATGTGGCTGTGCATCCAGGTGCATTACACGAGAATTCGTTCATCCTGCCGAAGGAAAAATTTAATTATATTAATGATACGTGTTATCCTATGAAGAATATTCAGTTCTACTAGTTTCGAATCTAATAATTCAATAGAAAAAAGGATGAAGACAAAATGTGGAGATTTAAATGTAGCGATTCCGCCAGACTGTGGTGATCGGCTCTGGCTCCATCCACCCACCACATGATTTTCTGAGTCAACCCTGTCCCCCGGAACCAGGGCTTTCTTCTTCGAATGTGGAAGTATTCAAAATAAGTCGTTTCTTTGGTTTACCCAGGTCCAACGGCCAAGCTGCAAGCTCCGTCGAAAGATTCCAGCTCGAACTCCTCACAGAAATCAGTCAAAGAGAGTTAATAGTCTTCGGGGTTAATAGAAAAAGACCGTTGTATATTTAGCAGAAGACGAAGAAAAGCTACCCCAACAGAGCCACCACCTATCGTCCCGCCCCCGTCAGCGTATATTGCTATTGTTTCAGGAGAACATGAGAATATCAAGGAGGTATCTGCGGAAATTTAAAAGGTTAAAATGTTCGAAAAAGTATCAGGAGAACATCAGAACAAAAAGGTATTTCCTGAAATTTGAAAAGTATTAGGAGAGCATGAGAATTGAGGAGGTATTACATGAAATTGAAAAATTCAAAATGTTCGAAAAAGTATCAGGAGAACATGAGAACAAAAAGGTATTTCCTGAAATTTGAAAAGTATTAGGAGAGCATGACAATTGAGGAGATATTCACTGAAATCGAAAAATTCAAAATTTTCAAAAAAGTATCAGGAGAGCATGACAATTGAGGCG